CTCTTCCCGCCTGCACAGCGCCACAGAGCGAGCAGACGTTCCAGAGCATCCACATGACACATCTCTGCTGATGTGGGGCTGTGGGTCGCCAAAACCAGTCCCGCTCTCCAGGTTCAGGATTGCACCAACCGGCAATGAACTTACTTGAACTCACTCTCTGGAGCACGGAGCTGGGAAGTGCCCTCTCCTGGCCTGGCATTAGCCACTGCAGCGTGTTACAACTCCTCACCATCCCGTGATTAATTAACGGCTCCTGGAGCATCTGTCCCCGCTCCAGCATCGCTCTCCGGAGTGGAAAATCACTTTCGAGCCGCCCCGGGGAGGACCGGGATCTCCCTTGCCCTCAGCTGGTATCTGCAGCCCCGTCCTCACCCCCACACCCCACCAGCCTCATCACTGCTCGAGGGACACTGTCCCACATCTGTCCCCCTGTGCTGGAAATGTGGGGTGGTATCTGTCACCACCCTGTGCCCTTCAGGGGGGAGATGGGCACCAGCCCTGGTGAGGGGAAAGGGGCCCAGGGAATGGCCACCTGCCCCGAGCCCCCCCCTCCTCCCTGCCCACCCCAGCTCAGATCTGACCCTACTGCCCCGGGGGGTGGGGGGTGCCTGCTCTCGGCATCTTCACAGAATCCCAGACTGGTCAGGGTTGGAAGGGACCTCTGGAGATCATCCAGTCCAACCCGTCCAGGCGGGTTTGGGATGGCTCCAGAGGGGGAGACTCCCCCACCTCTCTGGGCAGCCTGTGCCACTGCTCTGCCGCCCTCACAGCAGAGAGGTTCCTCTTCATCTTGGCCCCACTCTGCCAGGATTTCACACCAGGAGCATTTCTGCACATTCCGGACTTCACACAGGAGCGCCCTCTTGGAAAAGACATCCCCAACCGATAAAATCGCTCCCAGTGTCTTGTAAAACAGCCACGATTTCAAACCAGGAGCGTTTCTACAAAGCCCCCTTCCCCAGATTTTGCAGGAGGGCAATCACTGCTGCGCGGCAGTACAAACACAACTGTCCTGCCCTTCTCCCACGCAGGGACAGGCCCGCGGTCTCCCGGACACAGGACCAGCAGCCAGGCGGTACAGGAGATAACTTTATTGAATCCAATGGTGTTAGACAGACGACCGAGAAGAGACATGCCGGTTGGTGCGGGCAGCGTGGGCAGCAGGAGCTGACTTGGTGCAGGGCTGAATTTGTTTCTGTCTTTCATAATATCCTCAAGCCTTTTCCTGGCTTCCTTTTATACTTCTTTTAAAATTTCTTTTAAGTAAAAACAACTAATCATGGAAAGAGTCCAGATGGTGTTTGTTCCCTATGATTGTTCCCGCAGCTATGTACAACGTGGGGTTGGGTCTCAACATCAGGTATAAAATGGAGCGGGTTTACAAACTTGGAGGAGGCAAGGAAAAAGCAAAGACAGACAGGTGAGAGCAGTAGAAATCTGGACCAAAATCTTAAAGAGAAATTTAAAAAGTGCTATAAAACCCCTCGGCAGGAATACCATGCAGTTAAGAAACACAAAACCCAGTCAATTACACAGATCATCTAAAACAGGAATTTGTCCATTTCATCTTTTATTTAATTAAAAAAAGGTTGTTTTTGTTTTTTAATAGAAAAAAGCTAAAATTGTAAGGTTCAGGCCACCGGGCGGCAGCAGCTCGAGGGGGCAGGAGGGTGCGGCGCTGGCGGCGCCCAACTCCAGCCCCTCAGGAGGGCTCCTGGCGCTCCCAGGGGCCACGGGAAGTGACAGGCACCCTTGGGGGGTGACAGACTCCTTTGGGGGTCACAGACGTCCTCGGGGGGCAACAGGCACCTTCGGAGGTGACAGGCACCCTTGGGGGGGTGATGGGCTCCTTTGGGGGGTCATAGGCACCCTTGTGGGGTGTCGGGGACCCTTGGGGACAGCAGGCACCTTTGGGGGCAACCGGCTCCTAGGGGGGTGACAGGCACCCTTGGGGGCAGCAGGCACCTTCAAGGGTGACGGGCACCCTTAGGGGTGGCAGGGGGATGAGTTAGTGCAATCCTTGGACCTGTCCCCCTGGGGACAGAGGGGCTCAGCCCACAGACACGGTCAGTCCCGAGGGACACTCGGTCCCCAGCGAGCTGCCAGGCCTGGGGACACGGGGTGCTCGGTGTAAGCCAGGAGGAACTCACCAGGTGGGAAAGCCCCCACCATGCACCACCCCGGGGCACGCCTGCTGGCATGGCCCTCGCCCTTCCCATTCCCCTCACGGATTCCTCCTGATTTACACCCCAGCGTGCCACTCGCCACCAGCACGCCCGGGCTGAGGTTATGGGGCAACAGGCAGCCCCGCACCGGGAAAAGATGGGGCAAACAGGCTGAGGGATGCCCAGCAGCGCAGCCCCGAGCAAGCCGGTGACGGGGACAGTTTGGTCAACAGTTCAGTGGCTCTGTGGGGGTGTCAGAAAAGAAAGTCAGGCCCAGCCAAGGCTGCCTGCGTGCTGTGCAAAGCCAGAGAGGTGTGTGAGCCCTCTCCACGCATGGGACTGCTCAGAGCACCCGGGCACGGGCGGCCACCAAAGGTGCATCGTACCCTTTCTGCCCCAGGCACCAGAGCCCCGAGGAGGGTGAGAGGGGCTGGAGGGGACAGCCGGGTCCCCACCGCCGGCCTCGAGCAGCTGCTGAGCCGGTGTCTCGTACAATCAGAAAAGAAGTCAGCACAGCACAGTTATCACAGAGTACAAAAAAAAAAAAAAAGGAAAGAGGCGCAGCAGGGCCGTGCCCCACCAACTCACGCAGGGCGATCGACTACAGATCTATTTACAGCGAGTCCTCAGCCGACGGCAGCAACACAAGAGAAGGCAAACAGAAAGCCCGAGTGCCCAAGCCAGCGTGGGGAGGGACATCCCTGTGCAAGGAGCCGGGCTGGCCAGCCCCGGGTGGCAGTGGGGAGACGGCAGGGAGGCTGTCAGACAGACAGAA